TTTACATTTATTTTTTCCTGAGTGATCATTTTCATGCACGCTTACATTCCTTTAATGTCTCTTAATAGTTATCCAGAGAATATAATGCCAGACTCGGAGGGAGTCGAGCCAAAGGCCATGACAATCGGGACTAACAATGTGTTTGAAGTTGGATGTGGTATCCTTTGCTGTAACAATAGCCATTATTTATGTAGGCCCACGGATGCCAAAAATAATTAAATAAATACGTAATGAATCATTTAATTAAATGTGTGGTTAATTAATTAAAATGGAAATGAATAATTAATTAAATACATGAATCATTAATCATATATCAATTAATATAATACATTTAATTAATTATTTGTGTTTGTTTCCAATTTAATGATTTAATGACACATTTAATGATGTATTTGTTTGATTCATTTTGGCACTCGTGGCCCTCTATAATTATTAGCCTATTAAATAAATATATACAATCCTGATTTTTGTATTATTATTATTTTTTTAAATTATCGTTTAAATTTTGTTGTTGCTTTATAAGTTAAATGCTTTTTCTCATTTGGGAATATTGTTGTCCATATAGAGTTTGTCCACCAGAGAGCACTAACAGGCTTTGACTTGCTCATCACATACTATATACATACAGTACAGTGCAATTACTTAATGCTCATTTCTATCTACTCCACACTCCTATTATATTCTAAAAAGTAACTGTTCTAGTAACTATTCTAAAAGTAACTGTGCTGCCTCTAAATTCATCCACTCAACCCAGCTGTTTTCAAACATGTGGGGCAGGCCTCCTTGTGAGAGACTCATTTGATTTGGAGGACATGATTTGAATGTGACATGAACTGTTTTATGAAGGGTTAGTTAAGAAATAGGAGACCAGTTTTTTTTTTCTTTCTTTTTTTGGCACAGCGTGTGAAAACGGTTTTGCTTCCAGTAATTTAAAAACATGTAGGTTACCATGCCAATAAGCAGTTTTAATCAATTTCTCTTTGTTTATTTTTTATGAATTTTTAACTCGAATATGTCAAACTGTGGCAATTCTTTGAAAGACGGTGATTTAGTAGAAAAATGCTCAGTCATAGCACATTCGTAAATGATTAAATCTCTGATTAAAAACTCCACCAGGTTTACAGGAAACCAATGATCACAACTCACACAGCGTCATCGCCTCAGGCTAAAGACGGAAAAGTTACCAGCAGTGCCAAAGGGGGCAATTTTTGTTGGCTGACTGGCCGAGTCGCACCCCTGTGCTGAGCAGGGATTTTCCTCTCACGCCCGAGAGGTTTAGGACAAAGTAGTGCCATGTTTAGTTGCAGTTTATGCCCCACAAACTGTTAAATAAACAACTTTCTTTTTGACATAGTTTTGAGAATGTTTGAAGACAGTGAAGTTAAGATAACAAACATTTCAAATATGGGAAAGTCTGATTATTCATCACTGTGTCATCGCTTCTTTGTAATTGTGCTCAGCTGGGATCCTTGGTATGCATTTTTGTCTAGTTTTTAACATACTGCATCACATCACATTCAAACTTATCTTGGATCTTTGTTATTTTATTGTTTATTGTAAAAAAACAAAACAAAACAAAAACCTAAAAAAAAATCAAACTTTTGGCTTCCGAAGCGGACATTGTGGAAAAATGTTAAGAACCATCATATTAAGACAACTTCCTTGTGATTGGCTGTCCCTATCAAACAGAAGGATTGAATGGCTGGTGGGTGGAGCTTCTGTGGTCACAGCTAGAGCTGTGTGCCTGAGATGACTATTTTAGAGCTATCCATTCGCTATGACATTGTACAGAGTAGAAAACAAGTTCAATGGTCACAGGGATTACTTGTACATACGCTGACTTTAGTATTTAGTATTTGTCCATGTTTACTCACAACTGTAACAATATATATGACAGAAAATAAGGGAAAGCACGTATGAAAACAGCAATATAAGCCAGTATGCAATAGCTTTTGATTACATATCAGTTGTTTCATTCCCCTGATGTACTGGTTGAAGTCCTTGACAAGTCTGATACAGTCTCTCAAGCTTTGAAAATTGGAGACAACAATGTGATTGAGTCCAAGGGTAAGTACTGCATTAACATTAGAAAAAACTTGAGTCTTGACCCCGCCCTGAGTTCTTGATATTTTGCTTCCAAGGATCCAGACTTTCTTACAATGTTTTAAAGTGCTCTTGAGCAATAATTCTCCAGGCTTTCTGAAGGTCTTTTAAAATTTCTCTTTGGACACTGGCTGCCTTTTCACCCATTTCCAGTCCAGTCCTTGTACCTAACCATTTTCGTTTGTCTTTTAAAGCCACTCACTACCAACCTATAAATCATTCAAACAGAAAGTCACTTCGCTCAGAGATGAGCTTTGTATTTGACAGTGTCACAACACATAATGGAAAACCTAGCAAAGATTGCAACAACGCATCATTAGGTACTATGTTACTAGCAGCCTGTCACAAAGACACATTGTTTGTTCACATGTCTTTACTTAAATCTACAAAAACCACTAAAACTCACATGTAAATATGGTTTTACAGTGAGCCCAGTTTTCATATTTTT